TCTGAGTTACTTTCATCGACCGTGTGCTCGAATATGATGAAAATCTAGAACAATTTTATTCAAACTATGAGTATACTCGTCGACCTAAAAGACGTACAATTTTCCTTATATTCAAGATTTTGAAGTGAAGTGAAATTCTACTCAATTTTGAGTTAGTCGCATTGACCGTATGCAGCGTCTAACGATGAAATATGACAATCGTGGCATCCACAGACGAACTGACTCAAAACTGACAGGTTTGCTCTTTTATAACCTCGTATCTCTCTCTGTTCTCTAAATAGTCATAGCAGGCAAGCAAGTGATTGGTTGATTACGGCCAAAAAGTTTTGATAAATCTTCAATAGCTATCTAATGAAAAACTTCTATAATATTTATACCAAAACTAATCTTACATCAAATATGAATAAAATTGTGCAATAAAAATTGAAATCCATTCAAAAATGGCCAATTTATAAGCATTTAAAACCTGACACTATTTCGTCACACAAGTTTTTTTTATTTGCACCCCAGTATACCCAACAAACAATTCAAAGTCACAAATAAGCATACATATTGAATAAATGCTGTATAACAGTGTACAATGCTGAATAAAACAGGATGTCGAATTATGTGCTGAAAAAAGCTCATTGAGATCGATAGATGCGTCTTTATTTTCCTGCAGTTTAATAATCGTTTAATAAATGTATAATAGTAGTGTCCAATTTAAACGTTACTTCACATGATAATCAAACGTATACATTATCGCTGTTTAAGAAAGCAAAGATGTCCAATAAACGCTGAATAATAAAACATTTGATCGAATAAGCTCTGTTACAACTAATGGATGTTCACAGCAAACAAATAATTTTAATATCACATCAAAGTGGATGCACTTCAATCGTGTCGAAAATATGGTGTAATATTACTTGCCAAAAAGCACAAAATTATCATTAATACAGTGCATGAACGGACATTACGCTGCTTTTACTGCATTTGTTTATTTTTGTGGCTATAAAAATTACAATGATATTTTCGACATGATTGAAGTGCATCCTCTTGGATGTAATATTAAAATTATGTTTTTGCTGTGTTGAATAAAAGCTTCTCGACATACCTTAACCAACACCATGTTGTGGTTGAATAAATTCTCCAGATTTGTGTGAACAAAGCCTGAACAGAAGTTATTATTAAAAACTGTACAAGTAGTATTAAGCATGCAGTTGAATAAAATCGTCAAGAAGTCGTTTCTTCAATATGCGATTGTTTGTTGGGTATTTCACAAAGACGTTGTCCTACGTGAAAAATTTACAATAATGTTGCAAAATTAGTTTGTATGAAAATGTCAATACCTAAATATAGCAAACAGTGACAATCAATTCTTTGACAGCAATTGATGTAGACCTAGTAGTATATTTTAATGCAGGTAGCTCAACAGGAACCTGCAGGGATTTTTATAGAACGTGATTTAAATATATCCTTGGCTATTTCCTCCAATTTTGTTACGTTTCACCTAAGCGTGTTATAAAGAAATATACACGTAAACCAAACATTAGTTACATTAAATGTTAGTTCCATTTCCTATGTGCTTTCTCCACTACTCTCTCCATGCTCCGGAACATGGATAGGCTAAAAACGAATAAGAAGCGCTCATAATTTGATTTCGCATGCTTTTTCTGCTGAACGGGATTTGGAGAGAATCGTAGCAAGTGTGTGCGCCGTTCTACAATGTTATAAATAAAAAGCTTGGTGGTCGAAAGCGTAGACAGAACACGACATAAAAAAGACAAAAAATTATTTCATCGTCTTCATGGCCAACTTATATCAGGAGGATCCTGATTGATCTTATACCAGTAACGTACCACAAAAAGGTAATCTCCCAACGTTACTGGTTTGAAAAGATTAAAATTTGCAAAATCGAACGAACTCACCAAGTTTAGCCAATTGAACCTGAAGGCTGCCTGACATGTGTTGATGTAGAAGTCCAAATTGTAAACGAAGCTTAACGAAGATCAACATGAACTAGTCCGATTTATGGTAGTTGCGCGGAATGTCTTCCTCCAGATCCCGTAACCCTATTAGTTTTTTTATGTCCAGAAATTCGAATAAGTTTAAGTCTCAGAATAGTTTTAAAAGCTAAAAAATTCGTTGCGTTGCGTTTGCAACGGAGTAATTCGTAGATTGCATACTGGCAACTGTCATGTATCTACTTTAACGTTCTTATTCCAATTTCTTAAGGAAAACTATTTGGGAGTAAATAGCTTTCCATTCAGAGAACAGGAAAAGCATGACAATAGTCATTGCCGGCTAGCCCCATCTTTTACGGGAAACGCAAGGATATTGTTGGTGTACCATCTACTTAACGAGAGGCCAGCGACACACCGACGCCCCCATATATGCTACGGAGTTGGGTCAAGAATCGCTCAAGCAGGCGATGCGATTTTAGGAATTGTTTTATTTTGGAGGAGCTTGGGAGTAAACCCACGATCTTCTAGTCAGTAAGCAAAAACGGCGGCCACCAAGCTAGCCGAGCTCCTGAATTTAAACCCTGGGACATAATTTGGTAAAGTTTTTATGAATACTAATAGAATTATATTGCAAACAAATGAAATAAAAAGGAAGGATCTCACCCGAATGATCTGTAATTAGCCCGCCTCTTCGTGATTCTTAAGATCAATTTTTCTCCCAAATGGAGATCCATCTCCTTGATCCTGATAATAACAAAATCAGTTTCCCCTTGCTCTGGCCTCGGGAAGAAGTGCATCGGAATAAACGCACCATCATTGCAGCATTGTCGATGAACCTCCAGATGTTGATTCAAATATTCCAATACGCAAAAACACATGTTCGCAAGAAACTTCACCATTTGTTAAATACAGCAGCAAAATTCAAACACGTCACTTCTTCAGCGCGACCTACTTCGATCTCCAAAGAAAATTGACAGACTTAAAGTATTAAAGTCAATAGGCTATGATGTTGTTTTCGCTCCCCTTGATTACTTATTATATTGAGTGTTTTGTTTAGCTTTTGGACATTTTTGAAATCTCAAATTTAAAAATATATAGGCTGAAATTGATAAACCCCTCAAATGGCTTTCTATGAGATATTTTTTATTAAATTTTTGGCTCCCTAAATCCTTGTACAAATTATATTTTTAGCAGATAATGTAGTTACGCCTAAATGTAGGCATTTTTTATGTCACTGGTAATTTCCACAGAAGATCATTAACTTTCGATTACTTTTTCAAAACGACGCTAAACAAAGCATCTGATCGTTGATTTGGTGTAACTGGTAGCTCGCCGACGCATACTACACCACTATGCAACACAGCCACACAGCTACTCGAAACAAATTCTTGTCCCAGATTTTTCACGTTTACTACAATATCACTAAACAAACTTCTTAAAACGTGATAGATCTTAATTTACACTTATCCATACGCGTAAAACTAATATTTTTTTGATTTGGTACAGTTAAAAAATATGCGGAAAACAGATGAAATCAGCGCCAGCGAAAACCTTGTGAAAACCGAAAATGTAACATGTAACAAAATTATGAAAGATTTTGAACGTTAATTACTCAGCTGCCTCTGGACCAATTTCAATCATTTTATCATCAATCGATCAGAAATATTCCTACGTATATGGTGAAGTTGAGACTTTATCATTTATCAAAATGCCACTTTTGAAAATTGCACGAATGTGCAACTGTTGCCATGATAATTAAAATTATCACCGATTGCCTGCGAAAAGCGATTTCCCTAACACAGATTTCAAAGTTGAATTCCTTCCAGTCTCACCAAACGGTGTTTATTCAATCACCGAGTGGTGAGTGGTGCTGTTATCCAGTACGCAACGAAAGGCTCTCCCCAAGCAGCGAGCTGCAGCCCCCATGACCATCCATAGAAGGAGGAAGAAGCCGCACAGCTATTGATCGGAATTAGTAGCTCTTCGTGAGTCGTGGGCCATCTATGTCAAGTGCGACATACTAAAGAGTATAAACAGAGAGAATCCCGCTCAATTTCCTATTCCTACACAAAACACAAGCTCCTGCTGCAGTTAACAAATAAGATTTATTATAAAAGTCCACGTAGTCCTACGTCACCATTGCGTACAACCCCATAGGGCTGTCCCTTGAAGTTTTTATAAAAAAAAACGCGTCAAAGCTACCGTTAGAGTATCATAATAAAATGCTATCGAGCTTTCCACCCAATGTTACCCAGGTGAACGAGTTGCCCCCGGATCACAGCAGATCACAGTGATTTTCTTCTGTTTAATTCTAATTTTCATTTTATTTCATATCAAGGTGGTAGGAGGGAAAATACGATCGCGCATTTGAAATTCAAACATCGAAAGCAGATAATAAGGTGGGCCCCGAAATAGCAGCCCCGGCTCCCCGGATCCTAAATCCGGCACTGCGCACCTCCACTACCTTTACCTCAAATATTCCGAGTTAAACATAAATGCATACAGTATCAGTTCTTCCGACTTTAACTTTATATAAAGTTCTTTCTCTCCCGCATTCTGGAAAGTTGCTTCCATCTGCAGTGGATTCGCATCCAGTGCATTCACGAAATTGGCGATTTCGTCCATGGTGGGTTTCGCACTGGTGTTGCTGATTTTGATTGTATTCATTATTTCACACATTATTTTTGCTTCCAATGGCATCGACAATAGCGACCGAGCAGCTAGCAATGAACAATACGCACCGAAACAATAGCTAGTTTCAAGTAAATAAACTGTCGATAGCGTGATCCTCAGTTTGCAACTGCAGTTGCCGTCTTCCATCGATAACAGTTGAAAGCGAACGGAGGCACCATGCTTTATTTATGTTAGGTATGATGTCTTTCGGTAAGCCAAGGCAATTCGAATTTGAGTTCATGATAGTTACTTGAAATTTGAATACATACATTTTGGTGCTATCTGTGCTATCGAAGGTCATTTGAAAGTTGAAGACTTTGCGGCGGTGGTAGTCTTGAATTGGTTCAGATAGTAAATATTTCCCTTCATCTCCTCTGCTTCCAGGTGGCAAACCGATCACACCAACCGGCGACCAGAGTCTGCTAAACGGTAGCACACCAAAGGACAGCCACCCGGCGGAAAACGGTGGCAGTACGGTCGTGGATGGCGTTGCGACAAAGCTCGATGTAGGTTCCTTCTATAACCCTCTGGTGATATGTCCGAGAAACATTCTAATCAACACCATTTTCCAATCCTCAGTCGGCGCAACTCCAGAGCCAGCCAAATGGAACGAAATCTCCTCAGAAGGGCGGAGCCGGTGGTCCCGATGCGGCCACCACGCCACAGAAAAACGGGTCCACGGCGGCGCAGGCCACCAGCCTAGCACCCTCGCAGACGGCGGCGATGACCACGACGCCAGTCAGCAACCAGGTGATACCGGGCCCCCAGTCCGCATCGCACGTGGTCATCGACGAGAAGAAGAAGAAAAAGTGCGCCTGCTGCGTTATACAGTAATATTATTCTATACACACATCTATATATATACATCTATATATATATAGGATTGGAAACTACTACTACTACTACTACTGCATGGTTTGTTGTAAGTAGTAGAGAGCAGTTGTGTACGTACGTACGTATGCGTGTGTGTGCGTGTGCGTCTCATGATAGTTTTTGTTATTCGATTGAAACACTGCGTAAGTGTGCGTGTATGTGTATGTGTGCGTGAGAAAGAGTGGATCGAAGGAATTTGCTTTTCCATAATTTTTCGTTGTCGAAATTGTTTTGATTTTCTTTTTAAGTAAGTGTTTTTATCCCACTTATAAGTTGAATTAGTTTAGTTCTTCACATTCGCCGATCAGTGATGGACGGGAAGTAGAAAGCAAAAGTTTTATAATTATTTACTTTACAGTGAGAGTATCTAAATTATTGTTTACACAAGCAGAAACGTTGTGTATGACAGGGGAACGAATGATGCGAGAATGGAAAACGTGGAGAGGAAAACAATAACGATTATGTATCTCTGTGTAACTGTAAACCTATGTAACAATTTACTGTAATTTAGGACAAATAATGCTTCGATGGTGGGCTGCACCATTTGCCGGGATATTTTCCCTCCGGAGAACTACCCGGTTGAAATGGTACATCCCACTGAACAATGTTTTATATATAGGATTTTAAATTAACAGACTCAGTTTCTTTATAATTATTTATATATTCGTAACATGCAAGCAAGCAGATAAAACAAAACAATGGTAATCTATTATGATTAGTGATGCGTTAAGCAATGTTAGGTTCGGCATTAGAATGGGAAGGATTGATATTCTGTAAAACACATGCGAGAATGGGGAACTCAATTCAAAGTGCTACATGATATGGTGCAAATCTGAACAGTTTGTGGTCTCATTAGTGTGATTTGTTTTTACAGATGATCTAAATTACCGTCATTGTGATGTAAGGGGCAACTATTTGCCCTCAACAGGTGGAATGCCTGTCTTTCCGGTTGCTCACTCGAGCTGGATGTTTTCCCAAAAACACCTTTTCAAACGAATAAGAAAAGTTTGAGTTTTGATCAGTGAAAGTTGCGAGGTGAGCACTTTCCTTCTTTAGCCCCCTCCTCCTGTTTAGATCACACATGGCTTTATATTTGAATGAGAATCACATAGTCGAACGGAAAGCGGTATGATTATACATTTTTGCAATTTATACTTTGAACTGTCTATGCTATTTGTTTTAGATACAAGAAACCATTGTAAACAGAGTCATACATTCATTATAATTCATAGATCCACCTCCTGTTTGTCAGAAGAACAAGAATATGAACACACACGCGTCAGATATTGTCGGTAAAGCAGACTGCAGCTAACCCATCAAGAGCGGGAATGGAGAAAAATTACTGTGGCAGCGCAGTAGGCGCTGGAAATAATAAAAAAAAACATTTTAGTAAACTCGTAATAAAACAGAACCACGTGATTGTTAGTTGAAACATGAATATTTAAACAAACAAAAAATCTAATGTTTAAAAGTGTCGACATAGTTTAAAAACTGAAGCAGCATGCTTTGTGTGCTACCTACAAACAAGTATTGAAATCAAGGGAAACCAAACTACATTGCAGAACGACTGTTTCACGCGCCCGCACGCCACTTCGCTCTCCCATATATTGACAGATGCAAAAAATATAACATCTACAATTGTAAACAAACAATATCCGATTGTAACAAGTAATAACACACAATGCGAAACGAAAAATGTGTAACTACTGAAACTAAAATTACATTTCATTACGATGCAGTAGCAACAAACAAAAAAGTAATTACAACTAACTACTCTAAGCGAACATCAGCGACTATTTGAAACTTGTGTACACTTTTTGCATCACTCACAAATACGCAAAACAGAAAGTATAAAAATGAATAATAAAAACATCTTTAAATGGCAAACAAAAAAAATGAACAGAGGAAGTAAACAAAGTCCTATTTAAGAGCAAAACTATAAGGATCATATTTACTTAGCAAATCAAACAAAACAAAGATAAAACTAAATGAAAAGAACTACACAAGAAGGATTATTAAACGTATATATTTTCGTACTAAAACAAAAAAACAAACAGACAGACACCGAGAGAAAGAGATAGTAAAAGCAAGAGTAATGAAACAAAATGGCAAATGGTCAAGAGAGTGGAGCGAAAGCAAAAAAAAAAGCAGTAGTGAAAACCGGTTAAGTCAAGTAGAAATTGCGCCCGAATACAAGTGGTAGGAAAAGCGCAGTAGAAGTTCGGACAAGCAAGCGCGGAAGCAAGTAGTGAAATGAACAGAAAGGTGGCAAAGAGGAACGGGGAGAAAAACACAGATTCGGTAGGTAACCTAAAATCGTATGTACAGAATTAGTTGAGATAAGAACGATCGGCGACGTCCTCCCGATGTCCCGGCACTCGGTAATGGGACGGAGCGAGAGCTAGCGAGAAAGGAGAGACGGCAAACCGATGAACAGAACCTAATCGTTTAAAAACAGAACCTAATTAAAACACTGATATAAAGAAACCTGAAGGAAATAAATTAAATAAAAAAAAAACATAATTTAGGGATCATCGTGGGGTGATTGCGCTATTGTAGTTGTGAAAGCATTTATCGTCATCTTTTAGAAGTAATCGTTTTAAGATTGGATTTTGATGGGAGTTTTTGGAATTACCCTCTTGGAAAACGTAACATTACTAAACAAACATGTGTGGGTGGGTGTCTCAAAAGTCCTCCAGACACTACTGAACTTTTACTAGAAGCCTTCCAAAGTTTCCTAAAAGGTTCTGATATGTTCCATGAGAGCTCTTTTTGGGCATCCACCTAACCCCGTTACGTGGATAGATCACCTTTTCGTGGTACGTTACGGGATGTATGATTTAACACCGATTCCTAGTTCTGACTACTTCAAACTAGGGGAACAGGATTTTTCAGTAATCAAAGGAACACATCTTAGTCCTTTTCACTTTGTATGTCCTGTTGATAGTTATAAGTCCTCGGGTTGCCTGGACCGCTGATAATCTTGAAGCAAGGAAAAACTTCAAGGGACAGCCTTATAGGGTTGTACGCAATGGTGACATAGGACTACGTGGTCTTATATAATAAATCTTATTTGTTAACTGCAGCAGGGGCTTGTGTTTTGTGTAGAATTAGGAATTTGAGCGGAGTTCTCTCTGTTTATACTCTTTAGTATGACGCGCTTGACATAGATGGCCCACAGCGACTCACGAAGAGCTACTGATTCCGATCAATAGCTGTGCGGTTTGTTCCTCCTTCTATGGATGGTCATGTGGGCTGCAGCTTGCTGCTTGCAGGCAGTCTTTAGTTGTGTACTGGAGAACATCATCACTCACCACATGCTGATTGAATAAACACCGTTTGGTGAGACTGGATGGAATTCAACTTTGAAATCTGTGTTAGGGAAATCGTTTTTTGCAGGCAATTGGCGAGCAACAGTTGCACATTGGTGCAATTTTTAATAGTGACATTTTGAAACATGATAAAGTCTTAACTTAAGCAGATGCGTAGGAATATTTCTGATCGATTGGTGATAAAATTATTGAAATTGGTCCAGGGGCAGCTGAGTTATTAACGTTCAAAATCTTTCATAATTTTGTTACATGTTCCATTTTCAGTTTTCACAAAGTGTACCCCCATATAGAAATCACAGACGTAGTACTACGTCAAAAATGAGTTAGTTAGTCTTCACCTGTGTGATTCCTAATCTTATATTCGTTGTTCCCTAGTTTGAAGCGGTTAAGACTAGGGTTCTGATGAATGGTAATTATTGGTGTCGTTGCTTGTTTTTATTGCTAAGGAATCCAATTTTGACTGACAAAGGGGCGCACCTTTGGAGGGTGTTCCAACACTCCGAAGGGTATAAATAGCGGGATCTTTCAATTAGAATCAATTCCATGCGATGAAGGCAAGAATGACAACTGTATCAAAACCGAATAACTTCATCATTTCTCAATAGTGATGAAGTAATGCGACATACACTAAACTAAGGACACGGGATATACTACAATAGATCAAATTACTGGTCGCAGTGGTGTTATGTCCCGAACAGAGGAAAAAAGATTTATTTACTTCGTTAGTTTCATACAACTTAATTACTCGGTGTAATTTGAGAAAGGTTCTTCATTTCAAATTTTAAATAGAACTACTAACTTGTTGGTTGCTCAATGCTTGATGTTGCATTTTTGCAAGTTGTAAAATAAATTCAGCTCCCACTGGGTGTTGGCACATTGAGTTGAACTGAGATCCTGAGGGTTGATAAAAATCAATTTCTGTAGACGCTAGACGTTGCTAGTTGTTACAAAATTTAACCTATAAATGGGTATGTGCGTCTCTTAATAGATGTTATACCTAATTGCGACCGATAAAATTTAACCTTCGAGTAGATTGGTGCGTCTACTCGATCCAGGTGTGTCCAACTAACATCAATCCTTTGAGCGCCTTTGTGTAAATGCAAAAATGGTAAAGAGTTAAGAGAAAAGGATTATTTTGTTCTGAACAGTCAACTTTCCACAACTTGATGTCCACTAACTAGATATCGAGTTATATAACCATAGTAAAAATGAATTTCATGGCTAATTTGACATCGATTTTGAATGAGATTGTTATTCTATTACTCCATAATTCTGTAACTCGATCATCCCTTCAATATTGAGCTGGAGAGAGTTAACTGTACCATTAGTTCCTGTTCCTTATTGAGCTCTTAAAAGCCTGATGAGTTCAGAAAATCAACTAAATGAGAATTTAGGATAATGGTCTTGCTTGAGTGGATTTTTTTTTAATAGAACTTTCATGATTGAATAATAATCCACAGATACGTAGACAGCATAGAGTGGCTTTATTGAGTATTCATTGTACACTAGGTTGACTCGGAACATTAGCTTTTGATGTTGCTGCAATTGCAGTTGAGAAGCAATTAACTAGCATAATTTTGAATGCGGAAGCGCTGTTTTCACGATTTCCCACCGGTGTAATCAGGTCGCGAGGTTAGCGTTTGGTTAAGCGTATGTATAATCCGGAATTATTTGCTTATGGAGCTGGTTCTCAAAATGTGTTCAGTGTTCAAGGAAAAAATACAATGGGTGGATGTGACCAAAAGATGATCGGGTGGTCACCCTATCATCGATCGGGGCTGATGGTTGCATTTTGATTGAACCATCAGCATAAAGCAATAACAAAAATTAAGGCGACGGAGTTCTCACCAAGAACTTCCAGCGCAGCAGAAAATGTGCACCGAGCGGATCGAAAGAGTCCGCTTCGATCGTACCGCGACCGTGCGGTATCATTATCTAGCAACCAGCGCGGCAACAAAGTATCACAATGTGGCCCTTTGGAAACGACGAAACGTTTGAGCACAGCAATATCACAACCCACGATGTGATATCTTATTCGCTAGACGGTGGCTTCATCCTGGTGGCCGTCGTCGTCGTCATCGTATGGAAGTGGCGGCGCAACATGAGCCGCCTAAAATCACTCGAAGCAACGTCGAGAAGGAACAATCTCAACGTCTAAGCGGGCGTCATCCGACGCCCGCCGAGTCAGCAGTTTTGGTGCACCCGGCACCAAGAAGGATGGCTCGGATCTGTGCACACGGCACCAGCAGAGTAAAATTATACCCAATTCTGTAATGAAAAATTCTAATAAAATTCAGTCTTGATCAGAACATCAACCGCGTCGAGTTGTTGATTTATATCACAGCTTCTTGCGGGAAAAGGGTCTCGGCCTATTCCCTAGTTTTGCTAATTTCGGAGTTGTGGTAAACGGCCCTTGCGGGAGCGGGGCAAGCAATTTCTGATAGCAGAACCATTTTTGGTGACCCCGACGTGATACCGGCGCTAGTGCGTTAAGCCCGGTCGCGAGTGCAGCTAAGTGCATCTCTAAACACCGTGATTGTCGGTGCTGCTACATAGCAGTAAATTAACGAACGTTAATTGATTGCCCGCGTGCAATCTCAGAGATACCGGCGCTAGTGAATTAGCCCGGTCGTGAGTGAAGCAAATTGCACTTCCTAAACGTGATCGCTGCCGGAGCACCGCAGTTGCAAATCTCAAGTGTGTGAACATCACCCGAAAGCGATCCTTAATTAATTGCGCGGGTGCAATCTCAGTGATACCGGTGCTAGATGGTCGGCCCGGGTGTGAGTGAAACTAATTCCATCTTCAAATCGTCATTATCGCTGCTGTCCAGCAGCCGCCAAATCAAGTGCGTAAATACCGCCAGTGCGCGATCGTTAATTGATTGCCCGCGTGCAATCTCAGTGATACCGGCGCTAGTGAGTTAGCCCGGTCGTGAGTGAAGTAAATCATACTGCCTAATCGTGATCGCTGCCGGAGCCCCGCAGCTGCA